CACTTCCGGGAGCCACCCGAGGTAAGCACCGCCCAGAGCCTGCACCTCTCACCCCCTCATACACACCAACCCCCTGCCTCAGCCCTGAGCCCCCTATTGCACCCAAACTCCCTCCCAGAGTCCGCACCCTTCATCCCTCCTGCACCCCAACGTCCTGCCCCAGCCCTGAGCCCCTTCCCGCACCCAAACTTCCTCCCAGTGTCCGCATCCTTCACCCCCTCCCATACCCCAACCCTCTGCCCCAGCCCTGAGCCCCCTCCTGCACCCAAACTCCCTCCCAGAGTCTGCACGGCACACACCCTCCTGCACCCCAATCCCCTGCCCCAGTCTCAGCCCGGAGCCCCCTCCCCCTCCCTCGGCCCCGCCTCCCATCCCAGAGCCCACACCCCCTCCCGCACCCAACCCCTTGCCCCAGCCCGGTGAAAGTGAGTGAGGGTGGGGGAGAGCGAGCGATAGAGGGAGGGGGGATGGAGTGAGAAGGGGTGGGGCCTCGGAGAAGGGGCAGGGCATTGGCATTGGCCTCGGGGGAAGGGCGAGGCAGATGGCTGGGTAAGGGTGTTTGGTTTTGTGCAATTAGACAGTTTGGCAATGCAACCCTAGAGGACGTCGAAGACCTTACTTAGACCATTGCAGTGAGTGAATCCACAATGAACACAAGAAGGTAACATGTGGTAGGGGAATACATATATAGGACCAGACAGTCATTATAACTTGAGTGGCGATAACTTATGTGGATTTGGAGCTGGGGCATATTATGGCTTTAGAAGAACTATACGCATTTCATAGGCACTGTGGAATATGTTGTTTATTATTATTTGAACTGTGGCAGAACCTAGAAGCTCCAGCCACGGACTAGGATCCCATTGTGCTAGGTGCTGTACAAACCCTAAACAAAAAATGGTCCCTGCCCCCAAAAGCTTACAATCTAAGTATAAGACAAGAAACAACAGCTGGATACAGACAGGCCAGATGGAGGAGCACCAGGAAACAATGAGATCATACTAGTCAGTGTGATAGGCACACAATTGTGAAACATAGTGTTCACCACTTGCCTCACAATTGTCAAGTTTTTGGTAAGCATCACGGCAAAGGAGATTTTTAAGAAGGGATTTGAAGGAGGATAAGGAATTAGCTTTGTGGATGTTTACAGGGAGCTCCTGCCATGCATGAGAGGCAGCATGGGAGAAAGGGATCATTGTTTGAAAATGTAACAAGTGGGTGATGAAGGCTAGAATCATTGGATGATTGGAGGTGGGAAGTGACATCTCAGTAGCATGAGAGAGATGATTGGTGGGGTAGGGATAGTCTGAGAATGGTCTTGAAAATTAAGACAAATAGCTCATGTTTGACGGATAGAGAAAGGGGAGCCAGTGGAGGGATGCAAGGGAAGGGGTGACTATCAAAGTAATGAACTAGCAAAATGGTCTTTGCTGCAGAATTTCAAATGGAAATGATTGGGGCAAGATTGCATTTGTCAAGTCCAGAGAAGAGGATGTTGCAGTAGTCAAGACATGAGATGATGAGAGCCAGGATGAGACTTTTAGCTGCGTGGGTGGATAGGAAAGGTTGTATCTTAGCGATGTTACACAAAAAGAATTTGCAAGGTTTAGACAAAGCCTGAATGTGAGGATCAAGAGAGAGGACAGAATTGAAGATGATGCCCAGGTTGTGGGCCTGAGTGACAGCAAGGATGTTTGTCCACAGTGATTGAAGAAGCTGAATGGGGGAGGGCTTGGGGGGGAAATTAGCAATTCTGCTTTTGGTCAAATATGTGCACAAATTTATTCCAAATGCAAAAATGTGACTCTTCTGTTACTCCCAGGTAAGCTGGCCAATAAGACCAAATAGCCAAGGACAGGATTATTAAGTGAAGATGACAAGGCTGGGAAAGAGGGAATGGGAAAAGGGGGCAGTCAGAAATCCTTACATTTGTGGTCATGGCAAGTAAGCCTTGGTACTTTAAAGCATACCTTTTGTTGTTTGAATCCACACAGAGATGTTCAAGCCGGAGCCAACCTTTCCTTTAATCGTCAGTTCTATGATGAGCATTGGTCAAAGCATCGTGTTGTCACCTGTATGGATTGGTCTCTTCAGGTAAGATTTGCAGTTGTGAACCACATATAAAGCTTTGATTCTGTTTTATTTGGTAAGATTTTGTTTCATTGACATTAGGCATTAGTTAACAATTGGCTATGAAAGAGAGTGTGTGTGTGTGTGTGTGTGTGTGTGTGTAGGGGGAGGGGGAGACTAGTGAGTATCTGAATCTGTCTTTTGTTTGTATTTGATGTTAAAAATCATGACTTAATATTTAAACTATGTATTAATAACCCTACCCAAATGGTAAAACCTCCAGTTTTCCACTCTCCTAACAACTTCTACCCTACAGTTACACATTTTCTGTACAAAAGTTTGTGGCGCATTGAAAGTTTATAATTTGACGACCAAGTAAAGTAAACACAATTGCAGGCAGGAATAACTAGCACAAAGAATTGAATATTTTGACTGTTTTATTTTTCATATTTAATGCCTTAAAAAAAGATGTTGAATGTACCTGACTCTGCCACAGAGATTTTCAGCAGAGCTCTACGAAAACCGAAGGGTCTTACCGAAGACTTTAGGTCCAGCTTGCCACAGAGTACACCAGGTTTTTAGTACTGGGGCTTCCTTCCTGCAGGTCTCTGAGAAATACAGGAGCAGTGACTAGTTGAAAGGGGAGCAGCAGATGAGGAGGACATGAAATATCCCGGCTCCTGAGCACCTTAGGAGCTCAATGTGTAAAAGTTTATGTGCTTAAAGTTGAAGTAGATGAGCAGTGTACGTGGATGGGGAGAGGCAGTGGAATAGGCACCCAGTGATTCTGACTAGCAATAATTTTCTCTCCATCCTCCTGTACACCTCCTAAGACAGTAGGACTGTCTTTTGTCCCTCCATACCAGGTGACGGTTCTTTGTGTGTTAAAATGCCAGTTGACAAGGTGAGGGGAAGCAGTGAATTGGCAGGCGGTTAGAATGAAAGGCATTGGAAGCCAGGGAGATACAGTCCTGCATTAGATCAGGGGGCCCAAATAATTTAGTTTTAATGTGTCACATAGGCCATAGTGCCTTGGTTACATCATACATGATCCAAGATACTTTAGGAACAATGGGATATAATCTCATCTGCATGTGAACTGAGTTTTTTCGTCTATATAACTGACTCCCCAAGACTCAAATTGAGAATTTATTTCTGTGCTTTCATACCTAAGAATATAAATTTTACAAGAGGTATGTACTGGCATGTGGGTGGCCTTTAAGCACATATGGATTTACACAGAAATCAAGTATAAGCCTGAGGAAATGCTTATCGTGGTTGTTCACTTGTTCAGGAGCTGAAAATTACATGGAATTCTTATCTGATATTTTCCTAACAGGCAGCTTTTAGTAGTCCCAGGACAGCAAGATAAAGCCGAGTTAGAAAACTGCCAGATGTAATTGCTCAGCCCCTCAGGCACACAAGCATGTTCTATTTCCCGCCTCTTTGTTCTGGGGTGGCCCCGCCCTGCCTTCCCCTCCCTGCCTTCCCCTCCCAGTAGCTCCTGAGTCCTTATTTCTTTGGCATGTGCAGTTGAGCTATTCTCAGTGCCACTCCACATTTCATTGGGGGTGGGCCACTCTGGCTTTTCTCATTTCCTTTGTCGTGTTCACGTAATGGAGAAGGAACTTGAGCAAGCTTGACGTATCTCACCAAGCAGAGGTTTATGGTATGCTCACACTCCCACCCTGACATTATGCAATGCCTAGTGTACCAAACGGTATTTGACGTATCAGGCGAACGGCAGAATACATTAGTCAATTGTCTGTGATTAAACTGTTCCTGCAAAATACGCTGAAGGCAAATAGGTTAACTGGAAAAAATATAAAAAGAACATTGATGCCTTGATTAAACACATTATCTTGTTCCCTAGTCACTTGTGATATATGGGTCAGGACATGTGGGATCCCTCATACAGTTGAAGTCAATCCAGTAGTCCGCTCATTCTTTTGCAGAAAGAAGGGTAAAAGTCTTAGGTCCTTACTCAGCTTTTATTCAGGCAAATGCCCAAATAGGTTCAACTTTCATGTAAAAAGGGAGGGAAATCCCATTGCTTGGTTTAGAATGAGGTTATATCAGATAATCTAAAGCCAAAAACAAGTGAAAAGCTACAGAGTTCAGACACACAGTGCCTGATCCTTCTTGACTCTCGTGTGATCACCCCAAAGGCAGGCCAAGGGTGGGACATTTTACAAAACTGTCCTTAATGTAGACAGGACCTAAGTGTGGTGTTCTTGTCCCTGGGCTTGCTCCCTTCAGATAAAAGCATTGTCCTATCGCTAAGTGTGGTGTTTGTCTGTGGGATTTACCCTTGCCTTCCCAAAAGGGGGATTGGTGTGCACTCATTGATTGGGGACCTGGGAGTCAGGATTTTCTTCATCAACCCCGGAGAGGTGCCCACCTGACAATTTTCATAGTGCTTCACCTCCTCTCTCAATAGCAATCACCCCTTCAAGTGAAAACTCCTCATAATGGTGGTTGTCCAATTCAATATGATGCCAATCAATGACTGAATATCTAAAGTTGGGACTAAATTTACAAGTTGATGCCTACACTGTGACTGCAGAATGCATGCAAACTGATAACTTACAAGCCGGCATTTGTTTGTGCTCAGACAGGCTACTATAAAGTCACTTAGAAACCTCCAGTTGCATTCTACAGGAGAATGAACTAGCCCCAAATAGGCAACTGTGCCGGTAAACAGATACTTAGGTACACAGTTAAGCCGTCTTTACCTCTCTCATAATCCTAGGAGGGATTGGCTGGTTTCTGGTGTAAAGCAGATCAGTCTCAAGGATGCTGTACTTTGTATCAGGTGCCAATGGCCCGTAAGGGCTGTTCCAGCAGCCAGGGAATGCCAGAATGTAGGTGCAACCCAGCCATGTTTCCTTTTCCCCAGAATGGCCCATACATTGGAGTTGGGAGAGGAGGTGAAATGAGAGCAGCTATGGCAGCCCTATGCTAACCAAATATTCCCTCACACATGGGAAGAGGGGTCTGGGATCTGGCCTCTATTCTACTTAGGAATGATAAAACTTGAATAAAAACATAATCAGCTGGTCCATAACAATGGACACAAGTTAGGTCTTTTCTATGACACTCAGCTCTACGTTATTGTAGTATTTCCATTATGTGGTTTTTTTTTTTTGCTCCAAAGGAACTTTTGAAGGTTGGGGGGCGGGTGAAAAAAGGTTTTAAAACATTTTTTAAAAATGCCTTTGTAGGCTTCAAAGTAGAAGGGGCCAAATTCATGAAGTCATTATAGTTACATCAGGAATTAATTTGGCCCATTATCTTTATAGAAGCTGTCTGTATTGAAGAGCTGTTTCTCCCAGCTCTGCATTTCCCCTGCACAGTGGTAAATGGCTTGGAACTAAGAGATTTCACCAGCTTTCCTATGTAATGCTGCAGATACCAGAAGAAGAACTTGAGCTGAATCACTCTTGGTTGAAACTGGAGAGGCTTGATGACAAGTCATTCTCCATGAGGGCCCCATTGGTTTGCCAGAACCCATATCTTCTAACCTGGACATGATACAAAGCTCGTCTTTTTATCTTGGGCATTTGGATTGAGGGATAGAGTTTTTTGAAGTATATGTATGTGTGTAAGTGGGGGATGAGAACAGTATAAATGACTTGTGTTGTGTGGGTAGATTATTGTTAATATTATTATTTTGATCTTGATATTTGATATCTGGGTTTTTAACGATTGTAAAAGTGCCCAGGCCAATTTTAATGGTCACTTATTAGCTTAAATTATGAAATACATCAGCAAATATTTGCATAAAGTATTCGCATAATGATGTACTCATTCACCCATATGCCAGTTCTATATAAATATATATATTTGCTTATTTTTCAGCAAGATTAGGTTAGATTCTTTTGTAATAAAGTAGATTTCTTGGTTTTTCTCATTCCTGATGTAACTGAACTGAAGTAAATAGACTTTCATCAGAAATATGTTTGGCTCCCTATACTTAAATTAGTTTTGCTTATGATAGTTGAAAACAATATATTGTAATCAATATAGTCTGAAAGTCTAATTCATCATACATGTTTTCTTTGAGATTGAGTGTACTAGAAAATATGGACCTGGTTCTTCACTGCAATGAGTGCCCTCAAATCCTGTTTAATGGCACTCTGCACTTCAAAAGAGGACCTCAGCATCTTGCAGAATTAGACCCTGTGTGAAGAAGGTTTTCATTTGCTATTTGAATCTTCTGTATTAGATGCCTTATTCTTATTCTGAAATAAGAAGGAAAAAGCAACTCTCTACCATGCTGAAGAATGTGGACTTCAGAATAAAAGCTGATCTATTGTTTGAATATTATGTATATATATTTATATATATATAATATTATTATATAAATAATATAAATATATATATTATATAAATTGATGGAGACTAAAATTTCATAGTCTCAGAAAGGAAATGTTTTAAGCATTCAAATTAAATTTTCAGATTTCACTGTTAGTAGAATTTCTGTAACAGGACCTTTTTCATAGCAAAGTTTGAATATCTGAAGTCTTTCTTAAGTTATATGTTTTAGAGAACTACCTACAGTAAATAATGTTATCCTGGTGATATCTGAGAGGACGCTATATGAAGCCAACAGAGAAATCTTTAAGGACTTTACTAATAAAATATAAAACCAAAGTGTAGCTAAACAGTATGTTTGGAGTGGTGTGTGTTATTATTAAAACCAGATACTTGATACCACATGTAGCGTGAGAAATGATTGCTTCTGTCTCATATGATTTCACATAGTTTCTTCATCCCCAAAACAGAATCTAATCCTACTGCATGTTCTTTCGTGTCTAGTACCCTGAATTGATGGTTGCTTCTTATAACAATAACGAAGATGCTCCACATGAGCCAGATGGGGTGGCCTTAGTTTGGAACATGAAGTTTAAGAAAACCACACCAGAATATGTTTTCCATTGTCAGGTAAGATTCAGTAAGCCATTCATTTCCTACTAGGCAAAACAGAGTTGGCTATGCAACCCATCTGCCTATTGCTTAGATGAAGAGGCTGAAGTTAAAAATAGACAATTTTGGAAAAAGTACAAGCAGCAGTCTAATGTTTTGAGAAAGCATCAATCCTTCTGAAACAATAATGCAGCCCTGTCAGGGATTGAGTGTCATTCTGTATTTAAAACAACCCCTAAAAGAATTAGTTTATAAAGACCTTGCACTTATGAAGTAACTGTGGTGTACCACTTCCTCATCCAGGCAGCAACATATGCTTTCCCACCCACGTTCACTTCCTTGCGTCCTCTGTGTCCCAAGCTGCCTACTCTCATTCCTCTGATGTTCAATGTGATTTTTCAACTTTAAAATGCATAAATATACACCGCATTTCTGAACATTCATTTTGCTGATATCTTGGTAAAAATGACTTAAGCAATATGAGGATTCTTCAACAAATTAGCATTTGACAATCCTATGGGCTATCCGGCTACCATTTAATTTCACTCAATGCTATTGTATGGCCAAGCCTCTTCAGAAGTCTATAGACAATTTAAAAATAGTCTGACGCTTCATTTCCTTGTGCATGTTTACACTTCTTTCCCCGTTTTTCTATTTCACATGACATAGCCTGAAATCATCTGAATTTTCTGCTCATATGCTCTATTTCCATCACATTGCCCAAATGATGGAGCATGGCTTGGTTCAAGACTCCAGCCCCTTTATTAATACCCTTCCATTGTAATTATGTTTGGAATCCTGGCATGCAAAAAGCATGTGGAAAAGTTTCAGTTTGTAAAATTTTACAATTAGGGATTAGTAAACTGCAGATTATGCTGTGGTAAAAATTGCTTCTTTTGGAAGAATATGTATTACCTGGCTAGCTGTGTAAACTGAGTGGTCATTTTACATTTAAGGACCAAAGATCTTTTTGAACTAAATTTATGTTTGGACTTTGGTACATTATCAGATGTAACATAGTGGGAGGGAGTTGCTGGAATTGGAGTAACTGCTTCAACCTGATTAAATAACCTTAAATTCACATGTTTTTCTAATTTACTATCCCAAAAGCAACTCCACAAGAAGCTGGGCCTGCACAGTAAATATGCCATACATATTTTTATCTTTGAAATAAGAACATTTTTTTTCTTGGTATCCTATTTGGCAGTCTGATATGTCCCTTCAACACATCTGAGAGCATGGCATCCTAATTATGTTCAGATCATTTTAAGATATTCGTGCAGCTTCATGTTCTAAACAAAATATTAAAGTGGAGAAAATACCCATTGCATATTCAAAAGGAATGTGGTTTTATTCAAGTTAATGGCCAGATTCTGACCAGTCCTGTATGGGAAGGGGAAGACAGAGAGAATAATATACCCCATGAATTAAAAATCTGCCAGGACATGCACTTTATTTAAAGCTAAACCAGCTCATGGAAATGAACAAGCGTGGAGCCAGATTCATCCCTCCATGGGAAACCAGACCCTCAAGGCACAAAGATGTCTTCAAGATTTGACTAATTGAGTTTCTTCTTACTTCTCCCATAGCAGGTAGGGTAGATCTCCTCACTTTCTGCCATGATATGATACAAGCATTGGGTCTGGACCCCTGAAAATCTCTGTCTTTTGGGATAGTCATGTAGCACAGTGCCTTCATGCAACAACTTGGGTTAACCTCTCCTACAGTGACAACGAGCTCAGATTCTGTGTCTATGGGAAATATTGTGTTGCTGTGCCAGGATATCCACAGACATGTTGATGCTCATGTTCCCCAGTGCCATTTTAAGTTGGAGCCAGATTTGAACCATGGTTTCTGGGAAGGTATCACATAGAATTTCTCCTGTGTCCCGGATTGGCTGAGCATACCCCATGTGATTTAGAGGGGCAGCAGAAAGCATTTCACTTGGTCTCTTCAATACAGGCTGTTTTAGCTGAGCTAACTGATTCAGATGGAAAATACGAAAAAAAATGTATGCTACTCAGAGTCTGGAAGTCAGTTCTCTAGATCATCATGTTGTTATTCTATTAGTTAGTGGAAACCAACTGTGTTATTATTTAGCCTCGTATCATATACATTACAGTTTTGCAAGGGAAACATTCCCTGACTCAGAGTCCTGATTCAGCCACTCCACTATGTCTTGTATCAGCTATGCCCAGTTTTCCTTCAGATCCAGCTGATACTGTGACTGTTCAGCAGTTATAGGTGAATGTACATTCTTCATTACAGCTACATTGCCCAGGCATGACAAAAGTTTTGCCTTGATCAGCTGCCCCCCACAATACCTCCCCATCCTTTGTCCCTGTATTTCTACATATCTGGAATAACATCCATTGATCATGGGTAACCAAAATGTCCTGTGCAGGCAAGACGCCTGATCTGCTCACAGCTGTCCTCCCACAGTGATCATATATTATCTTCCACATAGACTCCATAGACAACACCCTCCATCATCTTCTACTCCACTATGATCTTTAAACTCAGCCTATACAAATATGTATATAATGACTAGAAATACCACCACCTCTATTTAGTTCATCCTGTACCCATCCAGATATGTAAAAGCTATTTATGAGTAAAACATAGATAAAGCTAGGTTTCAGAGTAGCAGCCGTGTTAGTCTGAATCCGCAAAAGAACAGGAGTACTTGTGTCATGCAGGCCTGAGGCCTATAGGTCCTTTTGTTACAGCTTTATCTATAAAAATAACAGGAGTATTCGTGGCACCTTAGAGATTAACAAATTTATTTGAGCATAAATAAAGCCCACGAAAGCTTATGCTCAAATAAATTTGTTAGTCTCTAAGGTGCCACAAGTACTCCTGTTCTTTTTATAGATAAAGCTGTAACAAAAGGACCTACAGGCCTCAGGCCTGCATGACAATTAGCTTAGAATAGCTAAGGCAGTGATGACATAGGCGGTTACTGGGTAAGTTGTATTTAACCAATAGATTGACCTTAAGTCACAAGATAAGGATTACAATAAATGAGAGTGGTACATGATAGGGAAAGGCAAAGGGAGGTACTGCAGAAGTATACTTCTGGAATTTTAAGAAAGTTTAAAAGTATATTGAGCTTAACCAAAACTTACACGAACTAACTGCAGGTGTACCATGGCAACTAATTGATGTAAGAATAATGTAAATGATTAATTGACCTAGTGAAGATAGGGACCCTAATATTGTTACGTGGAAGTACGTACAAGGAAAGAAAGTTGAAACCATCATTAAATATTATAAGATATTGTGGGGGGCAGCGTAACTGCCTATGAAAGGTAAGACCTAGCCTGTGGGCAGTGGGATACGTTAGAATGACCATATGCAGATCGCTTCACCTATTCTGGGGTTCCCCAAAAGGGATGATGTGAGTATTCAAGTGTTGGACAATGTTGTAGTGGCTCTATCTCCTTTCCTATATTATAGTGGTTGTGATCCTGTTGGTTTGACTAACAAATTTTATAACCTTGCTAGTCAGAGAGCACATAATGGACTGTTTCTCATGTGCTCCTCACGGTCCTCGTTCTGTTGACAACCTCACTATTGTAGCTAATTCGGAAGCAGAACCCTTTCAACTATTGCATAGTAGATAAAAGCAAATACCCGCTTATCAATCAGGCTACAACACTCTCAGTATGTCTCTGAGATATAGCAGATGCAGGCCAGATATGTACCCTTTACTTTGTGCACTCCACATAAATCAGCCACACATGCTAGAGTACAACATTAATAGACACAGGCTGAAGCCTTTCTTTTTCTGCACGGAGGAGAAACAGGAGCTTGTACTTGTGTAGAGTATATTGCATATTGAATTGTATTCAATTACATGAAAAGTTTCTCAAATTGTTGTAGTATCTATGAATTTCCTGGACTCCTCGTTGTTATTGCCAGTAGGTACATGCTGTGTGGTGACGTTTGTGGAACCTTCACTTTTTTATGTTCTGATCTGACTTTCAAATGTTTAGTGTTTTCAACTTACAACATACTGTATATAACATAACTCTACATTAACAACGTATTTTTGAGGGAGATGAAGTGAGAGGGAGAGATGGACTTTTTGTTTTTTGAATTACCGCATTCCTTCCCATTTAAATGCCTTTTTTATATCCCCTAAACCCAGAATTATATTTTGCTCACTAGTCCAAGTTCTGGTTCTAGTGAACCCACCTGATCATCCACAAAATCAGACTTTGCCTTTTAAATAGCAGCTTTGTAATGAGATTCAGACATGAGGAAACTGGACATTACAGATGTGTGTCTTCAAACTGCACAGCCAAAGAACCCATGCATACTAGTTCTGAGAAAAAAATTATGAACCCATTTCAAACCAAGCTCTAGGAAATACCCCCAGATATGGTGTTATAGCATCAGCAGCAGTACGGTTGTGGATCCTCTATAGACCATTAATCAGATAAGTGAACTTCATCTGGTCAGAACCTTAAATGATTTCAGCTTTAGAGTAAATTCTGTGAATGTTTGAAATTCCATGTCAGGAGTCATAACCTTACTTCTATATCTTTTTCAGTATATATTAAAGATGGTTATAAGTAAAATTCATTACAATGGGCTGTAAAGCTTTTTAGTGTTTGTTGTTTATTGTAATCTTTTGTGAGACCATTGGAATTGCCATAGCTGATCACATCCATGGTCTGCCTTGTCCAGTATTCTTTCTGAAAGTGGTCAGTACCAAATGCTTCAGTGGAAGGTTTATAGTTGCCACAAGGTCAGTTATGCAGTAATCTGTTAATAGAGGAGTTTTTTCTTAACACCAGGCAGCTAGGCTCAGGTTTTTAAGAATATTTAGGCATTGCTGAATTCAGTATTGCAATGCCTAGCTGATTTATGATCCAAAGTCTCATTGTCAAAATTTGGGCACTTGTGGAGCCAAAATCCCTGTGACAGTGTATACGACTTAGGCTTCTAAATGCCTAAATCACTTTTGAAAATGAGATTTAGGCTTCCAAATCAGTTAGGCATTGCAATGC